ATCTGGTCGTAGGCGTGAGGGTTAAGAGTAGTCGCGTCCGGACGTAACGCTATGTCAAACATTATGTTTTTCATGAACGCAAACGCCGGCGAAGTTTTGTCCTCCACGTAAAATGCGGGACCAAAATTAGCAGGGCCATTCCAGTCGGCTAGAATTGGGTTTGGTACATAAATGCAAATAAATTAAACGAGGTATTACTACAAAAATTGTATATAAAATTAAAATGTTTCTGTAATATGTTTGTTAAAAATAGAATAAAATTTTTAAAACTATTGTTACATAGTTTAAAATTAGTAAATTATACATACGATTTATTATATATTTATTAATCTTGCTGTTTTCAACGCGAACATCAATGGTGGTGATTTGGAGATCGTTGCCCAAACACGCATTTCGCATTTCATCTAATTGATTCTTCTCACTTTTAGTTTTCAGCTACACCCATAAATATTTATAAATATTACAATGAATAATACCATTATGTGTATCATGTGTATTTCTCTTACTTGTATATTATACTGCCGTATCTGTTCGCTTGTCAACAATGACATGACATCCGGTGTGCGAACATAATTGGCCACAAATTCCCCGTTTTTGGCCAACAGTTTGCTCACGACATGCATTAGTCGGCTCTTATCGGGGATCCAATGTATGACAAAATCCGATACAATTAGCGATACCTTAGACTCCAATGCCTTCAATANCGCTTGTCAACAATGACATGACATCCGGTGTGCGGACATAATTGGCCACAAATTCCCCGTTTTTGGCCAACAGTTTGCTCACGACATGCATTAGTCGGCTCTTATCGGGGATCCAATGTATGACAAAATCCGATACAATTAGCGATACCTTAGACTCCAATGCCTTCAATACAGAACTCAATGAATCCCAGGATTGGCTCAAGTCTTGGACCAAATACTGGACGGAATCCATGGGTTTGTGGTTTTGTTCGGCAAATGCTATCATATTTGGACAAATATCAAGTCCAACGATGCGCTTGTGTTTCACCGATCGAGACAACAGGTCCACCAAATACCCGGTCCCACACCCGAGGTCTACAATTATGTCGTATTCCCTGTAAAACCGTAATAAAATAACTTTTAAATCATTTATTTTAATAAACAGGAAACTTAAAATTATTGTTTTTATTTAAATAATTATTACAATATGCAAACATAGTTACATCAGGTTACTTTATTGGCAAGTACACTATTTAAGTTATCGTATGTAAACTATTTAATTCAACATGATTAAATGACAGATAATTATTATTATTTGATGTTTATTTATAAAAAAAATAGATTACAAGCTTTTATAATTAAATATTATTTACTTATATAGTTAATTTTTTATTAAATATTTTATATTTACTTATTTTTGGATACAATACTCTGGACAAACGCTCTAGCACATTCTTTAGGATACAAAGTAACCTCCTCGTATTCAGCTGGAGTATATTGCATTTTAACAGTTTTAAGTAAATT